GAGAGCAGGGGCTGTGCACGGACACACACGAGAGCAGGAGCTGTGCACGGATACACACGAGAGCAGGAGCTGTGCACGGACACACACGAGAGCAGGAGCTGTGCACAGGCACACACGAGAGCAGGAGCTGTGCACACGGAGCTGGCAGGAAGAGCACCAGGGCCAGGCCTAAGTTTGCCCCCCTGAAGTCTCTGTGCTCGGGAGTGCTGTGCCAGGGCCCTTCAGCTCAGCTATTCCAGGTCACTGCATGGTCACCCTGCAGCTTGGGGCGTGGGGGGCAGGTTGGCACCACCACACTGCTGACTCTGTGGGGTCTCCCTGCACATTTACCTACCATTACTGGGGCCTTGTTAGCAAAGGCACAAACAAGCAGGTCCCTGCGTCTCCAAACCCAGGCATTAATTTTTAAATAACTGTCATGATAAAAGACTGACAAGCCCAATTCTCTTTACGGCCTGTCCAGCATTACGTGGGAATCTCCCGTAATGAGCATCTTCTGGAGAGCTGCACTAGGCTTCCAGGGCAATCAGTCAGGGCTCTGCATTGCATCCCATTAGTCAATTTGACAAGAACGGCCTAATCGGAGACTATTAATCAGAAACTTTCCCCAGCATTTGCCCTGCTGAAAACACTAACTGTGGTTCAGATTCAGCACTACTCACCAGGTGGTACAGTAATGCCTTTGAAGTTACAAAGGTCACAAAACCGTGGGGAAGATTATGGCTAAGTAAGCATCTTCCTGCTCTGTTCCTGAAAGTTGGAAAACTTGAGCACCAGCCAGTTCGGCCATGCCAGAGCTTTTCAGCACTGCCTGTGTGCAGCTCCAGCACTCCCATGGACCACAGCAGCCCTGGCTAGCTGCAACACTCCTAGGAGATGCTAATTATTCCCAGTCAGATTAGGAGCAGTCTCTTATCTCACCAGGAAAATACACAGGCAAAGGCAGCAAAGCGAGTCCAGAAATAAAAGTCCAACTCCCTTCCCCTCACATATCATCTGAATTCCAAACCCTAACTATGCAACTCCAGCACCCAAGGTGCACAGGGACCATTCTGGAGCAGAACTGCCACACCTGAGAACTGCATCACTCAACACAGCAAGTCCTTCCCTGCACAGGGAGGATCATGCTCACCCCTTTGGAAAAGGTTTTCCAGCTTGAACCAGAGGAGCACAACTGTTGTGACAGTGCCAGTGGGCAGGTGATCAGCACAGTCACACACAGGAGTGTTACCTTCCTCACAGTGTCTCTGTGCGAAACAGCTCGGCCAGGATTGATGCTTCCTGTGAAACTCAGCCCCAGCTCACGGGCAGGACCCAGAGAAATCTGACTCAAGCTTTTAGGAGGCTCCAGCAGAGTCTCATTCACGGGATCTGACCTTCCACAGATACATCTGGTGCAGCAGCAGCTCTTCCACACCTTCACACAGACTCACCAGACTGAAACCAGTGCAGAATATTTCCAGATATTTCAATAGGCTCTGCACGTTGGGGGTTTTAAATGCTAAAATAAAACAACATCTCTTGAAATTAATCTAACTCCATAAACACATTTAGGGGCAAAGCACAAGGAGCAGTGACAAGGAAACATTTTGTTCTCGCCCTCCCTGGCACCTTCCAGCTCATCTTTAACACCAATGGGAATGGTGACTCCACATCCATCACTTCCCTCTCACAGCAGGGAACAGTTCTGAACACGAGAGAACCCAACGAATTCTGACCTTTATGGTATCTTTGCAGTGTTCCCCATTTCAAACCAAGAGCTATCAGAGCACACAAGGCCCTCAGAGGGGTAAGGCTGATGAAAACATTGCGCCCTCCTGGATGCTCCACTCCTGTCAGAACCAACTTTGCAATAGTTTGCAATACTTGTGAGTTTTGAAACAGGCTCATTACAAATGAAAAAGGAAAAGAACTGTGCTCCAGCATCTGAGATTCCATCCATGAATAACAAAAACTGCCCAGTTTGTAAAATAATAGTTTGAGTCTTTGCACAACTACCAGCTCAGCTTTGACTCAGGACACACCACTGCATAGTCCAAACCAAGTTTTGGTTGGTTTGGGCTCGTGGGTTAGTTTGTTTTTCACATGTATGTAGTACAGTGTACCTGCAGCAATTCTGCATCTGCTATTTCCTCCACAAACACTGCACTACAGGCACAGGCCCAAACTTCTCCAAATGCACACAATATTGGCTGCTGCTGTTTCCAGCACATTCCTTGTGTCCACTTTTCCTTCCCAAGCACTCTGAGCCCTGGGGTTTTGTTTCACATGGCAAACTGGCTTGGCAAGCCAGAGAAAGAAAGAGGAACAAAATAGTCCATTTATTAAAGAGCTCTGCAGTTCCTCCCTGTTCACCCTCACATCTGAGCAGAACCAGAAGGAACGTGTAACACCCCACGTATTCCAATCCATGGCTATTGGCATGTTCTGCACTGGGAAGCTTTGACTTATGTGCATCCCCCAAAAGGAAAATCTGCTCCGAGTATATTCCTGTCCAAGAATAAATAATAAATCATCTGCTCCAAAACAAGACTAGTCTGTGTAGAATTGGTTTCTTTTGGTTTTTTTTTTTGCTTGGGTTTTTTCCTCGTTTCTTTAAAACATAAAGCCAGTCAGAACTTTGGATAATGCCAAGTTTATTTGGCTAAAAATGGGCATTATTCCAGTTCTCAATAAAGTTATCCATTCCAATATTAATGGAAATTCTCTGTACTAATTACAGCTCCTATTAAAACAAAATCTACCAGCTTATTGCTAAGTTTCCAGAGTCTAAAATTAGGGAAGGAAGGATCATGCTGTAACAGGTAGTGGTAATATTCACCTTTGCTACACCCACTACCTATAAAACATGTGAATTTGCTGGTAGACCTTGTGCAGGAAGAGCTCTCCCCTACGGAAAAGCATCTCCTGGTGCAGGAAGAGCTCTCCCCTATGGAAAAGCATCTCCTGCCTTCCCTCAAAGTCAGGCAGGGAGAAGGAAAGCGACAGTCGATGTGGCATCCTGTGAACTGCCCAGACCCTGCAGCCCCAGCTGGTTCCTGCTGCCTCTCCCAGCACTGTCCTGGCACTCACGGGGCTGGAGGTGCCCACGTGTCCCCTCTGGCAGTGCTGCCGTGGAGGTTCTCAGGGGCAGAGCTCTCCCTGCCCCAGGTCACCCCCTGCTCCCACCAGGCCGTGCCTGCATCCTGCTCGGAGCGAGGCTTTCGCTGCATCTCACGTGCTGTGTACAGGCAAATCTTCCATTTTTCTTTCATTACCCCGGCATGTACTGTCACTTAATTTTTATGTATGCAATCCTCCCTGACAAATATGATCTGCTGCCTGGTAATTCATCTGACGTTCGTTCTGCTCCTCGCCCTAATTACGGCTCCGTTGCCACGGCGGGCGCTGCCGAGCCCGGCGCTACACCTGTCAGGAGGGTCGGCACTGCTAATGCCCTTTCATGCCAGGCTGATGCAGCAGACACAACCGAAGGAAAAAATGAGATGAATATATTTGCATAAGCTGCACATGGAATTCATGGGTCAGCAGCCAGAGAAATGATGGGCGAGGGCGGTTGCCAGGGCAACGCGGCACAGGGGAAGTGGCCGGCGTGGCAGCCTGGCCTGGTGGGTACCCCACACCAGAGTGGGGTGCTCAGCACTCCCAGACCTAAACAAATGTCTTCATTAAACCAAACCCAGGATCAGTCGCTTTTCTGATGCTACAAACCTGCATCTCTGGCAAATCACCAAAAACAGGGGAAGAAGCTTCAAGTCTGCCTAACTTTGATTGCTAAAACATTCCTCTTCCCTTGGGTCCAAGACCCACTGGAAGTGGTGGCATGTCCATCCCTCCCACAACGTGTCTCCAGTCTCACTCCCTGCCCTCCCTCAGCATCCTGCACGTCTCTCACCTGTCTCCAGGACACAGGGATGTGAGGAAGGGCAAGGCTCGTGCACAGGGGGCTGAGCTCTCCCTGCTGGAGCTCTCTGGATTCAGAGCAGCCCTGGCAAAGGTCACCCCTTGGCTCACGTGTGCTGCCACCTCCCAGCCCCAATTTATTCTTATTAACGTAATAACGGCAGCAGTCAAACTAGGTAAGATCATATAATTAGACATGATCATATTTGGGCCTGTTCAGATGATGTGATTGCAACTTTGTGCGAAGAGGATTTATCTTCATATACCCTAGGAAAGCTTTTGATGCAAAGGGAAATCTGAAATCTCCTGGTCTGTGAAAGCAAACGGCAGAAATGCCTCCTGGATTTTAAGCACACCCAAACAAGGCAGGTCTCTCCTCCCCTGAGCACTGGGAAGTCCCAGTGCTGCTGGTCAGTGGTGTCAGTGAGGGCTGTGTGCAGCCAGGAAGGAATTCAGCAAGACTCACACTCAGCATGGGGAATTGCACAAACACAGATAGTGAAACAAACCTTGTTTGTTCCAAAATCAGCTGAGAGAGCTAAATGTGAAAGAGCTTAAATACTGCACCAAAAGCCAAAGTCCCTTCCCTGCTGTAACACAGAAGCACCTTTGGGACTCAAAAACTTCAGACCCAACAATAAAAATGGAGAATTAGGTTAGAGACACATTGTGAAACACTTTATACTGTAAGACTTAGACAATGAACTGTATATAACATACAATTATCATCTGTAGTACTGGAATTAATGCTGGTGGTAAAAATAAGGAAGGCAACCTTGAGATATGTGGAAGACATGAAGAGAACTTGGATCTTTAAAGCCTAAGCTGAATTTGGAGTGAAGTCCCTGTCAGGAATGGACGACCCACCTGGTCTGGAGAGCTCACCCACACCAGCACAGCTGTAAGGGTGGTGGTGTGACACAACTCCAGCAGGCACAGGGCACACAAACAGAATGTTTGGAGTGGAAATGCTGCGTTTGCTATGAATCACACACTTACCAGGCCAGACCTCCCAGAAAAAAACAACAAGTGGAGCTTTAAAACAGAAGACACTTATTCATTCATATGAAGAGTATTTAAAACACACAGCACTGAAATACAACCCCCATGCCCTGAATCACACCTGTGTCACTGTCAGAGGACAGACACCTCTTCTTCTGAACACCAGAGCTGACAAAGCATGGCAGAGCTTCCTTAACAAGTGCCACTTACCTAAGGAATGTGCTGCAGTGGTTTTAGAACTGAAAAACCGGCCCAGTCCAAGATCTCCCAGCTTCACCACCCCCGTGGCTGTTATGAACACGTTGGCTGGTTTTATGTCTGCAAGAAGAAAAAGGTAGAAGGTCAAAGCCACAAAAGGTTATGTGGTTCTAACACTGCAATAGAAGCATTGCCTGGAGCACTCGCTGTACAAAGGGGCTCGAGCAGAACCACATTCCTGTACAGCTTTGATAGGCTGAATCTTCCAAGGCTTCAAGCTCTGCACAGACACAAAAATCAGAGTGTACTTCCCAGCACACAAGAAATACCAATGAGGAAGAATGTAGGAAACAGCTCAACAGAACAGACGCAAGCTCTAACTGTGGGGAATCAAAGATACATGCCCAGTTCTACCGGGAAGCGATCGCATTCCGCGGGAGCCTGGACTGCCCACGACCATCCCCACAGGCAGAGGCCAATTACTGCTCCACATACCCAGAACCTCTGGGCTGTGGACAGCCCAGTTGCTCCATGGAGTGCAAAATCCAGCAGAACCCCAGAGCCCCAGGCAGTCAGGTCAGAGCTGAGGGAGAGAGTTCTTCCCTCCCAGCAGAGCAGACTCTGCACGAGGCTCCACATTTCAGCCACCAATTACAGACCTAATTCAGGTAGAGCTGATAAACTGCATTAAGGGATGCACAGAGGAGCAAAAATTATACCACGCTGCTGGAAGAACTAGTGAGAACTCACTCCTTCAAAAGAGCCAGGAAATAACAAGCAGTGATTGGTGTATTTTGGGGTATTTGCATACCCTGAGCCCAGTCCTTCACCGAGCTCTGCGCTGACATGGAGAGCAGCAGCGCGATTTTTGGACAGAGCTCAGACTTATGGGGAGTTCTAAGAGGAGAGATTCAAAACTAATTAATGAAAATCGAGAGCAGGTTATGAGAGTGGGACAGAGCTGTATTAATATTTCAGCAAAGCCTGCAAGACAGGAAAACTCTTCCCAACTCTCTAAGGTCACAGCTAATATAATGAAGACTCTTTCTTGGAGTTCACTGTATCCAGGAGTCTCAGCATTTTATTTCTGACACTTTTCTAATGGCAAGTTTGACACTTCTACTTAATATCAGTGTCTGGAATACAAAGCAGCTCATCTTCCTAACACCACACTCCCTGGGCCTGAACCCTTTCCCAGTGAGGCAGACAGAAGGAGAGATCGATCTTGCAGGCTGCAGCTCTCCAAACATGCATTGGCTGAACATCAGCATAATTGTTTTTGAATGTAGGCGCTGACTAATTGGAACATTATATTATTATTCAGTGAAAAGAGACTGAATTAATGTTACCTCTGTGCATCACCCTGCGGGAGTGCATGTGTTCCACTGCACTGCATAACTGCACAAAATATTTCCACACTGTCCTTTCCGGGATTAACCGTTTCTGCTTTTTAAAATACTGTGGGAGGAAATAAATAAAAGATCAGTGAGAAAGCAACACATTTGACTCGCTCCTGGAATTGTGTCAGTAATCAGCTGCAGGTTGCTCATGTCTTCCAGATCTGCAGCTGCAGGACTTGACTTCTGGTTAGCCTTTCGCTCCTCCTCCCTGTATGGGAACTTCAATGCAGTTCACTAATTAACAACTATTATGAAAAATACGCTCAAATAGGTTTGACATTTTTCAATGGACACAATTATGATTAGCATTAATCTCCTTAATTACCTTGCAAAACATATTTAATGCCTCAAAACAACAAATGTCCCAAATATTTTGCCTTAAGAAACAAAGGACCATTAAAAAAACCCTTGTAAACATTCATTATTGCATTGTCTATTCACCAGGACAAGGAAATCTGCTTCCCTCTTTTAGCCATGGCCAGAGCATCAATAAAGTATCTGGGCTCCTCCTGTGATCAGGTAGAATAAAATATTCCATTTCATGCATAATAGGAATAAGAAATGAACTGCACTCTAGCGAGACAGGAAGACACAGCTGATCAGGAGACACAGATCTGCCAAAGGGCTGTTCTGTGTGTGCTCAGGCAGTGCCCAGCACGGCCCAGTCCAGCTCTGAGGGACCTCTGGGTGCCCAAGAGCTCCCAAAACAACGGGAAGCACTGTGCACACGACATGGAATGCAGCCTGGTGCGGGCCCTTGGAATACCAAAGTCTTCCTCAGCTTGTCACAGGACTAACGAAGCAGCTGCACGCTCCAGTGAAGGACAAACACTCCAGACCTGCAGCTACTCTCTCTCCTTGCCAGAGGTACACCAGAGCCCTGCACATCACAGGCACAGAGATCCCTGTGTCCCAGCATCCCAACCCTGCATGGCTTTGGGTGCTGCTCCTGCCTTCTCACTGCTCCACACTGTGCTGGACCGTGAGCCAGCTTCTCGCCCAGGGCGTTAGCAAAACACTCCTGTAACACACTGCCAGGGGTTTCAGGTTGATCCCCCTGCTCTGCACAGGAGATGTCAATGGCTAACGACTCCGGAGCGCTGTACACCCTCCTGGCACTACAGCTGCACTGCTCTGCGTCAGACTCACCAGAATTCCCATCTGCAGCCAGAATAAAGGAAGGGAACTCTGCTGCCCCTGCCTGCATCTCGTGCTTCCCCTCCCAGCTCTGACATCTGAGGTCCCTTGTCACGTTTTCCATTTCATGTGAAATGCTGTTACTGGTTCGTGTTTGACTCGAGCAATGGCAAATTTCCTTTTGCAGATCAGCTGCGAAGGGGCACGACCGTGCAATTCCCCAGGCAGCAAAGCTGACAGATTGCAACAGTCTCAGCCCAAAACTTGAGCGAGAGCACAGAGGAATTACAGAGGGTGAGGGAGGAAGTGTTATATACACAATAAAAGTATTTAATTCTCATTAAAGCACTTAAGAGTGGATATGCAAGAGCACAAGTGATAATTTTCCAAATGTCATGTCCAATAAGGTTCGCCTGACATTTACAAGGAAGTCCCAACTCTCCAGTGGGTTTTCCTGCAGCTCTACATCCCTCATAAATAATGCAGGCACGAGGGCGTGACAGAGACAGACCCTGGATTTATTGCCCTCACACCTCCAGTGCTGGTCCTGCTGTTCCAGCACTGCCAGAACCCAAACCCTCACGTGAGCCTCAGCTCCCTGGGGAGGGTGAGGGTGGCACGGAGGGGCTGGAGGCAAACCCACTGCTGCACAGGGATGCTCTTCTTCCCTCTTGGCTTTAGGGTTTGGTAGCTTTTTAGCTCTGTTTTCTACCTCTCAGATTTGTACCAATAGAAAAACGTCACTTATGTGACCTTGAGAAAAGCCCAAGTGAATCTTTTCATGCCTGAAACACAGACAGGAGCACAGAGCAGCCAGGGGATGCCAGCACACAGCACTGGGCACAGCAGCAAACCTACAGCCTTTGGAAACTGCAACTCCTATTAGAGTGACACACAAAGTCATTTCAAAACACCAAACACCCAACCCTGAGAGACAAGCGAGCGTATTTACCAGTGGAGGATGTTCTAAACTAAAACCTGCACATGACATAAAAGATGGAAATATTTTAAATCATGAAATCTTATGATTCTGTAGGTAAAACTTCTTATAAGGCAAGATTTAAAAATCAAGCAAAACTCCTGCCCAGTCCTGGATGGTCACACAGGGCCCTGACTCCTGCTCTCACTACTGAGGGCTGTGGAATGAGGCTGGAATTCTGGGGCTCTCCCCAGGAACTCTCTGCCAACTGCCTGCTCCCAGCTCACTCGCCCAGGGGGAGTTCTCCTGTGAGACAGAGCAGATTTTCCTGGATACTGTAAATTTAGCCATTGACTATGGACTAAGTGGATAACTTGTTTGACAGCCTTTGGCCTAGTGCCTCATAGCTCTGCTGGCAAAGCAAACAAATCTGTTAATAAGATATTTTAACTGTGACAACAAGGAGGAGGAGAACTTTCCAAACATTCATTTATGATAATTATGGAATAATGATGGAAAAAAACAGGTAAAACATGGAGAGAAGGTTGAGAGTGCTAACAAACATGATATAACACATCTGTTCTCACAAGGGATGTACGTCTAAAGATTAACATGTCAAAGAAAATATAAAAGCAGGTGGTAACAGCTTAACTAAAGCTGGTTTGCAGCAATACAAGTATTCCTAAGAGCAACATAAAAGAAGAACAAGTACTTGAAACATTTTCTCAAACCCAAATCCCCATTGCAAGGAAAGTCAATACACTTCCTTGAATGTTCAGAGTGGCAGACAGGCAGTGTGAGGAGTGAATCCAGCAGTAATTAAGTGTCCCCATCAATCACAGGCTGAGTAAATCAACCTTGCAAATAACACTCAAGTCCCACCAAGTCACCCAGACACTCCTCCCCTCTGAGGCAGTGACCCCATGGCATAGCCTGAGGTGTTGAGTGCCCCCAGACCTGTGGCTGAGGCTGGAACCACCCAGTGGGTGTGCAAAACTATGAGAGGAGAAGGAAAGCGCTGCTGGCACAGCTGTGCTCACCCCAACACCTTGTGAGAGTCTGTGGCACCTCCAGGCCCCACACGTCCTTACCTTAATCATCTGAGAGAGATCTCCAGCGTCAGCCAACTCCAGGACAATGTTGAGCTCATTGTCTTCAATAAAGGAATCCAAATACTTAATTATATTGGGGTGGTTCAGTTGCTGCAGACAGAGACACAAGAACACAGAGCTGTAGTGATGAGACCTCCAAGATACCTGCACAGCAGTTCCCAACAGACACAACCACAAACTGCTCCGAGTCACTATAGACACAAATCCTGTGAGGGATATCATTCCTCACCAGCACAGCATGATAAAAGTGTCTTGATTAAAGAGCAATTCAACCCAAAGAGTGTGAAACAGCCTTTTCTACTGTGAACTTGCAGAACAGTTCAGAGCAATGTCCTGAATGAAGCCTTGGTAAGCAGGAACTGGGTTTTTTCTCCCTCATTACACATAAACAAACCCTCAGATGCTGATTACACTATACCTTGAGCTCCTTGCCCCAAAAATAAAATGAAATCACAACTTTGACAGAGGAAATAATGCACAAATCAGTTTGTTTATGCTGTCATCTTCACTAATTCCTTTCTGCATTTCAGTGTAGCAAAGTCTTAGATTCACAACTTCTTACAAAATTACATCTCCTCAGATTGTTACCTCTTCTTTACAGGACTAAATTACAAAATGGGCTCAACAAATTAACGTTTCTGGGTTAGTATTTTATGTCTGGATTTCCTAAAGTGGAAAACTGCAACTGCTGAGGGGATAATGCAGCACCTTGAGATCTCTACTGCTCTTATTTCTCTCCCTTGCTCATTTGGCTTTAGATTCTCTTTCTCTTGTGCTCTTAGAAATGCAGCAAATTGAGAGGGGCTGGGAAAGGCTGGGGAGCTGCAGCTCACAGGTTGCTGCTGCCCTGTATGAGGAGCTTCACACAGCTCTCAGCCACAACTACACTGGCAGCAAGGGACAGTTCTGCCTGGCTTTGGTTGCACTTCACTTAGGAAGTGAAAAGTACTTTATCTTTTACTATAATGGCACTAAAAATGCTGAAATTAAAACTGCTGAAGTGATTCATTTGAGAAAAGCACACTCATGTCACTGTTGTGAAGCAGAACACACACCATGCTGACCGTCCAGAGCCAGTGTGGGTGTTTTATCTCCAGTTCCCTCTGATTCCTCTGCAAGTTTATGACACGTTCCAGAACCAGAGCTCAAGACAAAACTCTAGCTTACCCAGAACCCAAAGACACCACAAACCCTCTTTTTGCCTGTTAATGTTGTTTTTCTCCACGACCGTTGAGCCACTGACCAGTTCCCCGTCCCTGTGCTTACCCTGTGTCCTTCCCCACACTCTGCCACGCTCAGGCTTTGTCTGAGCTGTGTGAATACAAACTGACAATTCAGACAGGACTACCTAACACAACATTTGCAGGATTAATACTTTCAGAATCAAAACTGACTAGCTCAACCGAAATTTTAACCTTCTACAATCTGTTGCATTTACTCGAAATAGGTATTTAAAGTGCAACACACACATTTCCCAGCAACATTTTAAAATAAATTGCCCAGACATAAAAAGTCACTAGTTGCTTTAATCACTTAAACACTCTCTGGTTTCAGAGCCTTTATCTAAACAACCATTTTTCATGTGGGATATTTATACACATACACACAACATGTACATGCAAAACTGCTTTCTCCTCTAGGCAGCTCATTAATTAAAGTGACAAACAAATCAAAACACATAAAGGGCAGAATTTACATGTCTCTCACAGAGAAGTACTTGTGGGGCTTTTTAATGACAGAGAATTTTAAAAGATTCCTTGGACTATAGGCAGAAAACTCAATAAAATTAGGCTCTAAGACCAAACTCTTGTGTCACATTGGCATTCTAGCTGCAAAAGAAAGCAGTTTTAAGATCACTGTGTGAGCTTTTTCAGCTTTATTTGCCAACCTGGAAACAATGCTTTTCTCAAAAGAAAATAAAATATGGAAAAAGCCATTATAAAAATTCTCACCTTCAAGAGGTCAATCTCCTTAATGCAATCCTGCCTGGCCTTGGCATCCATCATTTCAAAGATCTTCAAAGACAAGAACACAGAAGATAAAAATGAGACAACAAACAAAGTACTTTAACAAGCAGTTGGTCTTTCCTCCCCCAGTTTGTATATCCTCTGCTGTAATGAGTATTCACACAATCCTCAGATCAAAGAAAGATCAATGTTTTCTGTATTTTGAAACCACTAACAGGCACTGGGTGAGGTGATTTCAGGACCTGTAGGCAACGTTCTGAGCAGCACAGAAAATAGAGATACAGTTTGTGAATTTGTTGTCATGATTCTCATTGCTTTAGTTACTACTAATTTCATGTAGTAAACAAATACAACATGTTGACTTCTCTTTTAAACACAGCTTGCACTGATTGCTCTGCAGTACCTAACAGTAACACTGAGCATTAATACTCCTCCTGTGATACTCAGGGGAAGTCACTAGAAACAAGGACCTAAAGGATCTGTTGAGGGACGAAAGGCAGATTGCTCCAAACACAATGCTGTTCTGAACACTGCCCAGTACTTTCAGCCAAGTGCAAGAAATCTACACTACTGGCAACTAAGTTCTTCAGAAACTCTTCCCAGACTCCTCCAGGAGCTCAGGCACTGTCCCTTTCATGCTCTGTGCCTCACAACTCTGCTGTGTGAGGACATCAGCCATGGGCCTCCTTCTGCCACATGTTCAGTTAGAACTTCACAAACCCTTTTGCAAAATAAAAACTGAAATTTAAACCAAACACAAAATTGCACAGCCATATGACACCAATTCAGACCCAGAAACCCACTCGGAGCTGCTGAGGGGCGAAGCCCAACGCAGTGCAGAGTTACTTGACTCAGCCTGATCTGTGCTGACCCTCGAGACATTCCCAATCTCCTCTGAACACTGAGGCTTGGAACCGAAACGCTCACCTGGACTTTCTTTAGTGCCACAGGTTTTCTGTCCAGCAGACAAGTTGCTCTGTAAACCTCACTGAATTGGCCTCGTCCGATCTTCTTCTCTATCTGGAAGTCAGCCAAGGTGCAGCGGTAGGGGAAAGACGTCAGGTGTCTCTGTGAGGCAAAGGGAACCACCAAGGTGTGAGGACAGGCCATGAAACACCCTCAGCTCTCGGGGCTGGGGCAAGAATTCAACCTGGGCTGAGCAGGCTACAGCCCAACCACAGCAGCACTCACTCCTCGGAGATGGATCAGGAGCACAGGCTGAGGGAAGCTAAATGGCTTTCCTAGGAAGGGAATTAAAGTCTTGCCTTCCGTGTAAGTAACTAATTAGTCCCAAACTGCTGTATCCCTCGTTACACAGCCTCTCATCAACTCTGCCTGCCTGTGTCACCTGGGAGAAGCTGATCCTCCTGCTGAGCAGTCCCAGGTAAACACCCAGCCAGGCAGGTAGACACAGCGGAACGAGGAGTGTGTACTCCACGGACTGGGAATTGCTCCCCAGAGCCACTCTGCTCCCTTCCCTAATTAGCATGACTGCCAAACAATGTTTCAAAAAGGAATTATGAAAATTAATTACTCCAACTTACCACACATGCCAAGTAGAATATTTTCAAGCTTCTGCATCTTGAGCTGTTTCAGAGTTTGCCTGGCAAACCACAAGAAGAGAAGTCCCCAGCACTGGGGGTGGGGAAGAGCTTCCCAGGGATGAGCCACCACCTACAGCTCAACACTGGGCAGACAATCCCAGCATTGGTGTCCCAGGAGAGCTGCATGTTTTTAGGAGGTAACTAACTGTTGCTACCACTGTCATTTCCTCACACAGGGCAAGGAGCTGGAATTAGGATTTAAAATGCAGGTAAAGCCTTCAGTCCAACACCTTTTGCAGCACCACTCACAAGCCACTGTGAGGGTCTCATTGTGCCTCTTTATTTTTATGAGTAAAAGTCTGGACCTCTGTTTCCTCTGCAACAGAAATAAAACTGACTCCTCTTCAACAAACGAGAGTAGCCACCAGGCACTTGAGAGAGCCTCCAGATTTCAAGGGGTGTGTGCTGCTCTGAGCTGCAATCACATTTGGCAGAGGTTTAGTGAGCAAAGCTGAAGGCAAGTCACACAGAGAGAGGAAGATGATTTCATCAAGTGCTTCCTGCAAACAGCTCAGGGAGTGTTTCCCTTTGAGATCGCTTTACTCTCCCCTGCACTCTGGACTAAGCTACCTGCAATTGGCTGCAGCCAGTCTGGGTTGGCTCTCAGAGCCTGTGCTGTGCTCAAAGTTACACTGCATTTACAGAAAAAAAAAACCAACAAAACAAAACAAAGCCTCGGGATTCCTCTCTCTAGTCTGGCAGTGCACACTACCCAGTGAACGGGGAGCATCCCTCCACTGATGAGGGAAAAGGTATCCTGTGGGGCACCAGACAAGGAGCAGAACATCGAGGTCACACTGCTTTGCTGTTTTACATTCATTCTCCTCTAAGTTACTAAAGCATCAGCAGAGTAAGGCAACCTGGGCTAAAAGCAGACAAACAAATCCTCCAAGTCATCAGCCCCTGCAGCCTTCTCAGTGTAAACTCGTTGCAATCTCTCTCTGCAGGGATCTGACAAATGGTAACACTCATCAATACACAGCCCAGGAGGGTGGGAACACTCAGCTCATTACAGGCAGCACAACAAAACGTCAGTTCACCTGCATTTTGTGTGTGACAAAACCAGCAGAAAGTCTGAACACCAGGACTTGTCCCATGTCCTGGCACTGACCACAAACATCTCCACTTCCCAACCCATTTACTATGAGCCACTAGGCAAGTTAACTGATCTGCAGAGACAAATCCCTTTGCTCAGCCACAACGAGGGTGTCAGTGCATAAAACTACAAACCACTTTTCCCTAACTGAACACTAGAATCACACATCCCCTTCACCGTGTCCATGTGCCTCCTGAGCTGTTCTCAGGCAGTAAGGAAGTCTGAGCAAACAATTTCTATCTTGCAGTTACCACTCACGACAGAGGCAGCACGTCTAAAACCATTTTATGAGGCCCCCACCCCTGAGCTTTCTTTTCCAGACAGAAATCCACACCGAGATCTAGGACAGCATCCACTTGCCCTTCATAAATCATTAACGTGTGTGTTTAAACCAAGAGTGTTGAAGTGCAAATTAATATTTTAAGCAAGGGCCGAGAAATATCTACCAACTTCTGAACCTGCAAATATAAACGAATGTTGGGCAAGTGACAGGAGTGAGTGTCCCGACCACTTCCCCTGGAGAGCACAGCGAGGCTGCAGCACTGGAGGTCCCACTGGGCAAGGACTGGACACCTCAGCTGATGTGTTCTGGCATCCTCCAGGACTACAGCTGCACATTTACATATGCAATGACCTAGATTTGCATTTGCTATCACAACCTATCAGACCTAATTAAAGTAATGGAGCTTTCAGAGAGCCTGGGAGATGTTTGATTACAGCACAAACCAGAAAGCATCCTCAGGTTAGACCAAACCATGCCAGGAGTCCTTACTGATCACAGGCCACTTCCCCACAGGTTTGTGCAAACTGAACTTTCTCTCACGCTTTGCTGTACTTAAATGTGAGCAGGAAACTCTGCTAAATGCTGTTACAAGGAATTTAGTTACAAAAAAAAACATCTGCCTTCTCCGAATACCATCCCTAAAGTCACTTATTTCATTACTTTGGACCAGGGACCTCCATTGTTTTCAAGTCCTGCTACAATTAACCACTACAATTCCTCACAAAGCTGCCAGGGAACCAACACCTATTCATTCCAACAACCCACAATCTTTGCTTCTGCAAATCCCAGAGTTTTCATGTACAGACAGAAATTGTGTGCAAAAATCAGACACCACCTTCAAACATGCCCATCAAAAACACATTTTCCCATTTTCAGGACAGATCCAGGCTCAGGTTTGTGTGAGCACAGTAAAATCAAGCCCTGACACTGCAGATCACGTGTTGAGGTCAACGATGGAGCTTGAATTCATGAAAAAAAATGGAGAAAAGGGGAGAAAAAAAAACCAACCAAAAAGAGCTCCAAGCACTGGACACTATGAACATTGGGCTGTTTGCACACTGCTGTTCCCAGGGTACAGTCTGGGAAGAGCCTGCTTTGAGACAAAGGCTGTTCTCTTCATCTACACAATGAAGTCTCATTCTTCTCCTCCTCCACCAAAAAAATAAAAAAGCCAAAGATTAAAGTCAATTAATTCCTCGTTCGAATAAAGAGCCCATTCATTTTGAAGAAGAAATGCAGAGATTATTCCAAGAACAAGCTCTTCTGGACAACATCTCTGGCATACATGTGCCCTGGGAGACAGAACTGCTGGTGCCAGAGCACAGATTCCAGAGCTGGTACAAACAGGCAGTGGCAGCCCCTGCACAGCACTTCAGGGAGACGTTTGCCAAGACTTTGAGCTTCAGATTTTGAGGTGTTACAAGGTTTTCTGCAAACCAGAATTCGTGAGCTTCATAACACTGAAAAAACACCTTGCAGACACCTGAACAGACGTGTGAAAGGGCAGAACAAAGGCTCCTCAGAGTCTCCACATCCCAGGTGACAAAGCAGACCAGGCAAACAGACCAGGCAGGACTAGGGAAGCTCCTTGCTCTGTACTTGGTCCTGGTGACAGGATGCAGTTTCCCCTCACCAGTTTCCCATTTGGGGGATGATGTCTGTAGCAGTGCATGGCAAACCAAGCCTGAATGGGCTGAAAAAGGGGAACGTTCCCTGCTAATTGCACAACACAAACCTAGAGTGCTAATATGCTAACGACGCTAACGCCAGTTGTTCAGTGCCCTGGGAATAGGCAGAGTCAGCAGTTTGTGCAGACAGGTCGGAGCAGCTAGAGCATGGGGAACACACCTGGAGACACATCGGGTAACCAACGGTTAAAGTCAGGCCCTGCAACCTCCAGCCCCAGTGAACGCAGCTCTCCTGCAGAGCCATGAAGTGAAAGGCTCTTCAGAAGAGTGAAAACATACTCGCCCAATTAATTTTCTGAAATCTCATTAAAAAATTTAGCCCGACTAAGTCATACACTTCTGACCTGAATTTTAATTATCTTGCGCTGGGTATAAGGTTCTCTCTGATACTTGCAATGCATCATTAGTTTTAAAGGAATGGTTTCCTGCCTTCCAGAGTGCATCCCTCATCTGAGTGACAGTTACTGTACCCAGCTCACCTTCCCAAGGCTGCAGCGAGCGAGTTCAGCCCCTCCAGGAGGACACACACACAGATAAATGATTTACTACCCACTCAGTACCTCAAACCCTTTCAGTAAGCCCCAACCAAACAGTCACCTCCACTGCCTGAAAGGAACTTTGCATATACTGGGGCTGAAATTCCAGGGTGAATTTATGAGGGCACATTAGAACAGATTGATTAAAGAAAGAACGTCTAAGCTCACAAGATGCGAGGAAACTTTTAAAATATGGATTATCCTTCAAACAGGTAGCCGAGTAATTATTGAAGAATACATCAGGTTTTTCCATTTGCAGCTTCAAAACTAGGCTACACAGTCATAAAACATCCTCCACCTGAGCTGCCTCCTGGAATGCAAAGTTTGCTTCAATTTCAAAGTTTTACCCTACCTATCAGCAGAATGAGGAGGTAAGAAAGAAACACCAAAACAGCAGAACGAGGTGACATTCACAAAGAAATTAGAGTTAACATAACTTAAGCACTTAGAAACTGTAAGTTGGGATGTCTTTGCTGCCTAGTGACTCACACCTTGAACCTGCCTTGGCTTTGCAGACCAGAAGGAAACCACCGTGAACAGCTCTGCTAAGCCTGGGTATATAAAGGGATGTTTAAAAGTGAGTTACTGTGTTTATTTAGCAAGAAAACTAAGTGAAAAATTACAGCTACGTATTTTTATATCACAGATTTACTCCTAAATAGCTTTTATTGCTTACTGCTATAAACACTAAGTAATCTGGAGATTAACTGACACTTTCACTCTCGAACATTACTAGAAACATTCTCTCTTGCTGACAACTTCACTGGGGCAATGCAGGGCATTTCCTCCCACTCTGTGCCTGACTGTATGCATTTGTTATTCAGCTTTGCAATGTTATTTTGACAGCAAACCCAAAGAAAGTCTTCCTGCAATTCCCACCCCACACGAGCTCCCTCTCGGAGCAGCTAACAGAGCCTTACATTAACACAACTGGGGACTGGAGGTTTCACTGAACAATGACCATCCAGTGAAATGAGCCCACTCAGCATCAGCATCACAGCAGAACACAGATTATTAACTACTAATTACACTTAACTATGTCATTACAAATTCTAGCATGTGCTCCAAGATGCCATGAACGTATCTGCTGCGCAGGAACACTTCCTAATCTTGTTCATGAAATAATTACAGGGGCACTATCCTGCCAAATGAGGCAGTAATTAACCCTAATTGCTCAAAATGCAACTGGCTAATTCTAGGAGATTAATCAAGGGGATTCAATTATTATTAAATGACTTAATATGACAAATTGCTGCATTAGGAGAGGGGCTTTGCTCCACACCACGGAGCGTTCCCGCGGCGCCGTGAGGACACATTCCTCACTCCACCCTGTCCTGGGTGCCCACAGAGCCATCCCAGTGCCCACTGCTTGCTCAGAGAACCTGGAGCACCACTGCACTAACACCCACAGCCCCTTCCCACGGCAGGCTCACACCACAGGCACAGTGCTCTTCCTTCTAGCAGCAATTCCACCATGCTTTTTGTTTACTCCTTGAAATAAGGTGTAGGTAAACTGAATTGCTCTGAGGGACAGACACACACTGCAAGAAGCAGCCAGAACTCCCAACGTGCATGTTCCATGACTACACAGAATGCAGGTCAACCCTGGGGTTAGCCCTTGTGCAGACAGGCAGGGAGAGAGAGATGAGCTGCTCCAGTGCAGCTCTGTAACAGTGCAGACAAAACACGCTGTGGGATGGATTTCCCAGACCCACGGAGCCCCCACAGTCCCACGCAGGATGAACTCTTATATTTGGTAATTACCTCTTCAGCATTTATCATTAAACTATAAAAGGAGATAAAATACATTTATTCACTTACACAATCATCTGCTTTACTTTGGCCTGTTCTTCAAAGACTCAAAGACAAAGGAAAGCCAACACAGTGCCTGTTTGCATGAGATGATTAAAAAACTTGCTTTAAGCAAAGTTCAAACTATTTCCTTTTTCTCTTGTTATCATCAAAAACTGTTTTCAGGAAGCTCTGGCTGGCAGAGTCCCAAACTGAATATCCCCTAAAACTGCTGCAAGCACCAGAAACACAAGAGAGGGGGAAAAAAAGGCTATATGCTAAGCAATCTACTTTTACAAAAGGAAGGGAACACAGAAGGAGAAAGACCAGACATACACACACTTACCTGAGGATCATGCTGGAATTCCTGCCCTGGCAGCTTGCACAGAGGGTTGTTCTGGTCCCCTAGATGATGTGGATGGTTGTGCTGCCCTTCCATGGTATCATACCAAGCTCTGCCTTACAGTTCTGCTGGAGGTAAGAGAGGAGAGAGACGTGTCATCACTGTCAGCCAGTGCTGAAACGGAAAAACTCTTCCTAGGGGTGTGCCTACAAGTGGTTGTAGGAGCCAACAAGGAGCGATTCCTCCCCCTTCTTCCCTCTTACTCACAGCCCTTGCAGCCAGAGCCCCAGGAACACGGGGGTCAGAGCCAGAGCCCCAGGAGCTCGGGGGTCAGAGCTGGCGCAGGACCAGCGCTGCCTGCACACCACGGGATGCAGCCACAGGGCAGTCTCCCCCCCCCCGGGGATCCCCAATACCACTGGGACTGTTTCACAACAAGCAGAAATGGGTTTGTTCGGTCAGTGGTTAGTAACTACTACAGACACTGCTTCTGTCAGCTCTGACAGTGGCTACTGTCACTGCCCCTCGCACCACCAGGACCCAATGGGCCCCAGTGCTCTTGGACACTTGGAGGACAGCTCCTCGGCAGCGACTGAAGCCTAATGGTGACAAGGGAAGACTCAGTGACCAACACAAGCATTTGCAGGAACTTGTTTCCAGAGTTTTGGCAAGTATTTGCTCAGTGGAGGAACACAACCTGACCTCAGCAGAGTATTAATAGTGCATGCCTGGCACTTGGGCAATGACTAACTCTTAATTTAAAATACCGAGGTATTCTAAATATTTGTGGGAGTGGGGGAGAAAATATGATGCAGAAGAATTTCCGCAGCAAGGAGTGCTCAGTTCCTTTAGCAGTTGTCAGTGAAATAAGCCTTTGGCTCTGGCAGATCCCTCCCAATACCAACTCCTGCACCATGGGCACACACAGCACGAGGGACAGCAGAGAAAAGGTTCTTACTGTCGCTTGAGCAAACGAACTTTCACTCTAACAAACACTCACCAGACAAGAGTTGTGAGAGCTGCAGTTCCTGCTGCATATGAACAACAGAACACATGAGTTGCTCAATAAAAACAGTTTTTCCCAGTTGGTACCATGAAACTCTAGTGGGAGGAGAATCACTGTAGATTTGTTAGTAACCTGGTGAATACTTAAATAAAACTATGTCTCTTAACAGCAACATTAAAGTGTCCTACGCAATTCCTACCTATGTTTCACTGCTGGAAATATTTTATTATTCCAGATTTGGAATTGTTTCCTTGAAGGGAGAATGTACCACACATTCTCTCTCATCCAAGTCCACAGGCACAGAGCAAACCCTGGCAGGGACTGCAGGTCACAAACACCTGGCTGCCCACCACTGAGCTCCAGAGGGATTCACCAGCGTCACAGCTACAGCCCCGAGACCAAGGCACGTCCAGGCAATGCCACAGGTACCACCCATAGCCTAGCACTGATCACACAGTGTCTCCACTGTGCCCTCCCTCTGGGAAGGACTAAAGCTCAAAGCAGGATCACCTGACCATACACAGGTCTGGGACAGTGCTGAGAGACTGCAGCTGCCCTAAGGAGACTCAGGGTACAGCTCCTCCCTGCGAGGGCCAAGGGCAGGCAGCTCCCAGCCCAGGAGAGCACACCTGCCACGAGTGCATGGGAGTGTGTCAGGGGCAGGACCTGGGCCCAGGCACTGCAGCTGGAAGAGAAGGCTGCGCAAGAAGGAAATAGCAGCTTTGAAAAGAGATCCAAGAGATCCAGCAGAGCTCACATGACACCTACGGGACAGCGTGTCCTACCCCAGGCTGTCAGCTGGGCTATTCTGAGCTGCTGGCAAGCACAGGGATAGGTAGGCTGGATGGGGGATCCCCAGAAGGGGCTTCACAGAGTCTGCCAACAGCAGCCAACAACACCAAGGCACTTCACTATGTCAAAAAATGTACACGGTACACTCTTAACATTGGCACATTTCTCCTTTACACTGTCCCGGCTCTGCACTTCTCCTTTTCAAGTGACAGGTCTTTATTCCTGCTCCCAAGTTTCCTACAAAGCTTTGCAGCGTCAAACATTTTCAGGCTCGAGTCTTGACCGTGACTGTGAATTAAAACATTTTAAAATTGCATGAAGCATCACATATCTTTCCAGGGAGTGAATGAAAGAACAGGATCAGCAGCAGCACCATGGGAACTATGACCAAAGCCCACGTGGGATGAGCAGCTTCTTCCCTCAAACCACTGTCACCCTTCTGCCATAGGTATTACTGCATGCAGTGGCAGCATTGAAAAGTGGAATTTTTCAAAAGCCAGGGAAAACAAAACAAAAACCCTTTCCTGCAATCAGGTCCTCTGCCACATCCCCAGCTGCAACTCCTCCCTGGTACCTGCCTGTCCTTACCCCCCATCCCATCCCTCTGGCACCTCGTCAGTAGACAGCAAAACAAAACACAACCCCCACCGAGCCCCGCGGAGCCCTGCAGGTACCTGACAGGTGGGATTCTCAGGGCACAACAGCCCAGGGCACTCGGCAGCAAAGGCCAGGATCATTAGTTACGAGGCACTCATTAAGGAGCAGAGCCTCATCAGCATCTTGGCATTCAGTCTCACACGTCCTGGTGCCCCGGGTGCAGCTCCTCTCTGCGCGCTTGGCCAAACAGCTGTGACCAGTCTGATCGGGTATCACCATGTGTCTCGGGATGCCTCCAACTCAACTGCAGGCCAAATTATTTGCTCCCAGATGTATAATCAACATGACAGGACCGTGCACCTCTCAGGCAGGCAGCAAAGCAGCAGTTTGTGCTCGGTGTTACAACCGTTTTCTGTACCAGCACTTTTCACCTTTCTGCAAGACGCACCAGCTGCTCCGTGTGCCCAGCCTTCCACTCTGCTGCTGCTCACCAGACATGTGTGTGTGAGCAGTGAAACAGCAGATATATATATGCCATATATATATATACACCATATATTTATATATATGCTTTTCCACTCAGTGACTGTATCCTTCTCACATCCTCTCGCTACTCAGGGACTTGGGAGGGGGAGCCAGGCAGCTCCTGTGTAAAACAAAACAAAATGGCAAGTCTCATGCAGTTCCAGAAATCCACAAGTTGTTTAAACACTGTCAAGCACATTACTGCACAAATTTCCATCTTTTCACACCCACCAGGAATCAGCAGTGGCTGAGATCCACCAGCACACCCCGCAGGCTCCCAGCCCATTGCTCACTGCGGGCTCCCCAAAGGCAGGAGCAGGGCAAACTGCTCTACAAAACAAACACAACCACATCAGCAGCACTTTCTTCCTCTCTGCTGCCCGGTAATATCCTCCCTCTTCTTTGCTCACAGAGTAAATCTGCCAGGATGCTCGAGGAGATCACCCCCGTGTCTGAACGAATCTCTGCTCCCGGCTGTGCTGGGGGAACACAGCCCAGTCCTCAGAAAGTAGTATTCTTGAGTGACTTTTATTGTCCATTATCTTACACCATTTCTGTCACGGCTATGATGTCTGGTAGGAATAGTTCACAACAGAAATATCTTTGTCGTTAGTATTCTCATTGCAATTTAGTCAGATCAACCTTTAAATCTCATCCATCATACTGAAGAGCTCTGGCAAGGCAAGCACAGTAATATATGCTTCCATGCAAAACCTAATTACAGGCTAGGTTAAAAAGCCTACCCCGTTCCTTCTGCAGTGCAAGGTGACAGGAAATCCTGAGCATCCCTTGGTTTCTCACTCTCCCTTTTTGCTGGTGAAGTGCATAACCCGTTCATTACAGCAGACTGATTCTGTCTGGCACATGACAAACTTACTTGAACCTAACAATTAAACTTCTGACAGCGTTTCCAAAAGCAGAGAGTATTTACTGTAAATGCCTGACAATTTTTTTCCTCTCTGCTCATTTCTCTCAACAGTCACCTTATGATGACTGGAAATTACCATAAGCAAATAGCAGTCTAACATCCAAAAACCCTCATGCTAATGTGAAATACACACCTGCCAACACACTGAAAAAATATGAATATGAATGTTAAAGGCAACGACATGAGGAATGGCACTGAAATGCCTGAGACAGGAGAGAACGCTGCAGGAGCACAGTGAAGAACAGAGTCAGTGGAACTGCTCAGTGAGAGGTGGCACAGCTGCCCACAGCCACCCCAGCCCTGGAGCAGAGACCACAGCTTGTCCCACCCACAGCTCCAGAGGCAATGGGGGAATTCAAGCAAGAACTGTTCAGCAGATAAACCACCAGCAAACAGTTCCAGAATTTTAGGCTTAGCATTAAGCTGAAACTGTGCCTATAGATTCAGACAGGCAAACAATACACAGAGTTCCACACACCTGCAAAGCCTAGGAAAGCATGAAATATATGGAAGTGTGAATGGTATCTTAAAGCCAACATACAAGATCACTCAGTTACACAACTTCAGCGTATTTACTAACACCTTCCCTGACCAAAGTGCTAATACACTATCCAGAATTACTTTACTCATGCTCACTGACAAACTCTAAAGGACAAATGAAAACTGGCAGAAATCAACTTCCCAACCTTCAGTACCAGGGAAGATTTGCAAGGCAGGTCCTGAATTTAGTGCTGCAAGTGAAAAAGCAACAGTCACCAAACACAGCTACAGACAATAGTTGTGTTTCAAAGTAGTCACTCCTCACTTTTGGGAGAGCTGGAATTACCCTGGAGGCAGGTGCAGATGTGTTTCTGTCAAGCCTTTGTGCAAACCAGATTTTCAACAGCCAGTAAGGGATGGGCTCTCAAAGCCCCCAAATCCACTCACTGAGAAGGCTTCACTGGAATGGCTGAAAAGCCCTAGAGCTTCTTCATACCATGTCAGCAACTGATATTCATTAAACAAATGCTGTGACAGACACTGTAATTCACTGCTCCATACCTAGAAGCAAAATGACATTAAGTCAACTCCTTAAAGCTGTTTGGAGCCATCTCACGGTGGGTGTCAATAAAACAAATGCCTCCTGCCAATAATTAGCTATCTGTGTCAAACTTACCACTCCGTTTCAAATCACTCCCTACACCCAGCTCAGGTCCTTATTCTCACTCTAAGCAAGCAAGATCATAATTTCAGACACTCTGTCTTCTAGTTTGGGGAAACATCTAGTAAAATGGCCTGA